GGACGAGCGGCAGGATTGTACATACTGTGGCGGCTTTGTCACAGCCACAATATCTCTACACATGGTTGAAAACGCACCGCTTGCTTTTTCTGGGGCACAATCAAGCATGATTGGCAGAATCGTTCCCACCCTCCTTCATCTAAATCTGACAAGCATAGTGTAGTTTAGCTTTGGTCAGCTCGAACACTCACGGCAACGACGCGCAGATAACGAAGCAATCTTTTGCTCGTACTCGCTGTCCCATGCACGAAAAGCATGAAACAGTTACATGTCCCGGTTGGTTTGTGGGCGTCTAGCTTCGTTGAATATCTCTCGTGTACACAAGTTTCCACTGGGACGTCAGGTAGGGCTACACAACTTTCGCCACAGAGGCCAAATAAAACCAGATTCATTGCTTTTTCTTGGTGCCGTATGGTTCAAAAACACACATTCATTTATCTTATGTCTGGTTTTCGACATACCTTTCTGATTTTCGGCCGAGAAATACTTGAAAGACGCGCTGCTCATCCTTGCTCATTGAAACATCCACAGGAAGCTTGTCGGCCGGAAGTTATCTCGACCACAGGAAGTTCCACCATTACTTGTTTATGTTTACCTTGGAATACCATGTATTGCAGGCTAAACATGCCTCGTTTAAATAAAGAATATCAATATCAATACTTCAAACTCCTAGCATTCCTGCTATCATCATTCATGATCATCATTTTGTTTCCTTGAGGGCCCGTGGAGCATTATACAAGTGAGTGACAATAAAACAAAAAGTGCAGTAAACATGAATGTAACACTGTAAGCTAGTTAGCTAAGTTAGATAGTAAGACATTAATGGATTCAAGAAATTTAGTAGCATCATTTATAGAAACGATGTGAGAAAGTGAGTTTTAATGCTCGATAGCCAAACGTAGCATGGAAGTGTGGTGAGAAACAGTTGATGATCGAATTGAACCTAATTTACATAGCTGATGATCTAAACGAAGGGAAATATGGTGGGGAGGTGATATTAATGATTCTCTGAGGTGGGTATTGTGATAGAAAATTCGATGATGGAGATGCGGGCGTTGCACTCGGCTGTGAAGGGAAAGTGAATAAAGGTTAGCCGATTGGCATAATCCTGGTATGCTGATATATGCTGAGTAGTTATAAATAAAATTAAAGGCTTTGTTTTGAATGGATTCTACATGATTTGTGAGGTACGACTACTATGGAGACCATGTAGATAAGGCATATTCTAACTTAGAACTTATAAGAGGAGTTTATGCTAGTCATTTTACCGAGGGTGTAGCAAGTTTGAGGTCATGGTGCAAATATCAGAAAGTATGGTTAGTATCAGCAAGTATCAGTATCAGTATGGTTAATTCATTTCACTCAGGCTTGTGCCCATCTCAAATACTCTTTTCAAGGTACTGTGTGAAATACTTTGGTAGTAATCTGGTTTCTTGGACATATTTTTAATTGAGAGTATTTACGTCTTTTTCTTAATTACACTTCTCACTATGTTTTACTATCGTGAACAATATGGGCATGAATGCTGGAGCATGTGGCCTTTGATATATTCTGCACTATCTGGAGGCTGATAAAACAGTATAGTGGAGAGGCGAAGCTGCGAAGGTGTGCACACCGGAGAAAGTGCACATTCTCGCAGCCCCCCTTCACTCCTCAGTTTTATCTGCCTCTAGGTTGTGCGGCATGTTTCAAAGGCCACACGCTCCAGGAACTCTAGCTCGTACTGTTCACGATAGCACTCATTATCTCATAGCATCTCCGATTGACTTCCACAGGAATTGCCCCGTAAGGGTGTGCAGCGCACAGAGTCGGTGCAATTTCGAATACGAAACACATTTTGCCGAGACGTCTTTTTTGCGCGCCGGTATGGGGCAGTCGCGTGATGAGAGATTATGTTACCATCTACCTGGCCCCTTCCTCATTTTTTGTATTCCTTTTCATTGTCTTCTCTTTTTTCTTGCTCCAGCATTGTTGAAAAACAAACAGTATTTACTGTTTGTTTTTCATTTATTCTTTTTGCTGAGATTGGGCAGTGCGCGCTAATGGTGTGTTTCGTGCTCTTGTGCTACAGCACAGTTCAAGCAGACTCGTACTTCTCTTAGCTGCTTCGGTTCACATAAAAAGCAGAACTTCCGGCGCATAGATTTCACGTGTTTGTTTGGACGGACACCTTAAAAACTTGAGCGTATTCTCAATACAAGCGAAAAAGGGAGGGGGTATGCAACACGGCGGAGGCTGGCAGAGGTGCTTCGGCAATGGGTGTAATGTGGCCGCTACAAGAGCCTCGGCTGTCTAGACGATGCTGCGTCGTCTGCTCTGCAACATGGCCAACATGGCAACATCGGTATTGTTGATCGGTTTTATTCGAGAAGTGTGTCGCACCATATGCAAACAGCAACGTCAACCAGACAGTTTGCTTCCGTTTTTTTCCCGTGCGTAGTAAATTTGAAGTATTTCTTTTCTGGCATTTTTCTTGGAAACCCAAATTTGAGTATGACAAAATGCACTGCCTAAAGACTCCTTTCTGGTAAGTTTCACTGCATTGCATTCATTGGGTTATTTATGAGGCATTTTTTGCGACCGGATAGCATTCGGGAACGCCCTGTGATGAAGGTGTATGGTGTACACATGACGTTAGTCATCTGTGTTTGTGACACATGGTAACCGGACAAACGCTCGCTGGACAAAAGCTCACCCATTTTTTCACAGACCCGGACAGCTCACACATTTTATTTTTTTACCTAGGCAAAATACGGGCTGGGATAAAGTGTGGGCGTGATGGACATTCCACCATTTTTAGAACTGGTACCCCATCTCCTGCAAAGGTGTTGACAGATAAGCCATGACAGGCAGAGAGGCAATGATGTGGGACCAAAATTTAGGTAACTGAAACTGAGTGGAGCTGATAAGATCAAGCTTTCTTCACTCAGGGTATGCTGGAGCACCCTTGTGCCACTCCCAACAAGCTTCGTGAACCAAAGTTTTTGAACCCCAAAAGTGACTGAAGAAGCGAAGTCAGCCTAGGGTGACCTCGCTTTTTCATTGTGCTTATGTCACGCTAAATGTACACATGAAGGTTAGGCACAATGTCTCTTCATTATTAATGCATGGGTTTTCTTGGGGTTCAGGGTAATATTTGAAGTGAATGGCTAGGAAAATTAAATTCTTTCCGTCATTGTGTGTTGTAAGTGTATTTGAAAATAAGGGATTATCTGAGGGGGATGTGAAAGGGAAACTGAAGCAAAACTGTAATATACAAACCATTGAGTTGTGAATTTTCAAGAATATTTTGAAGGAACAGAAGTTGGGCCTTTTGGACAAGTACGAGACAGTTGACCAATTTAGAAAGCTGTGTGGGATTTTGGTTATGCTGGTGGTCCTTTGACAACAAACAGCTTGTACCCGAAGGACTAACCTGCATCAGGGAAAAGTCTACGGGTGACGTCGGCGACCTGCTGGACTACTTTGATTACACGTATGTCAACGGCCCCTGCTTCTGCTTTTTTTGCGGAGACACCCAGAGTGGATTATGGCCCTTGCCTGACTGTGCCGATAACGACCGGAGTTCCCCCCTGAATGGTGGATTATGTACGACGCCGCCCTTCAAGATAGACCGGACGAACAACAACTGCGACTGTGAAGGATGGAATATCAGGTTTCCGAAGCTTGTCGGCCACGCCCATCCAAGCGTCTGGAGGCTGGTTAAATACCTACAGCAAAATGAGGCACTCGTTGCCACGGCATGGACACAAATCCGGAGAGGTGAGCCCCCAGTGAAGCGAATGCAAAAAACCACTCTGCTCCTGCAGAATCGTCTGAAAAATATTTGCGATGTGTTCCCGGTACACCAAGATCTACCAAGACTGCTGGAGCTAGTAGTGGATTGCATTCGCTTCTACCCAGTCGGTAAATAAATTTGTTTCTACTCTAATCAACAAACTAAGCGCATATCAGATTTAAATTATCGTTGCATTTTAGTGTCTCACACATGCGCTTGAGTTTTCTGCGCTCGTGTTCTGATCAACATGAAATTTTCTCCTGGTGAGCTTTTGTTTGGGTCTGTAAAAAAATGGGTGAGCTTTTGTCTGGTGAGCTTTTGTCCGGTGAGCTTTTGTCTGGTGAGCTTTTGTCCCGGATTTGAAACACAGGGCAGAAGGGCAAGTGACCTATTTGGCTGGAAAGCCCCCCAAAATTACACTATTGTTCAGTGCCCAGGTCTCTCTTTTCAAAGGAAGGGCAACCAACAGCAGACAGTAGTGAAACTCTTAGCATGTATTTACCCAGTTTGTTTTCAAAACTAGCTGTCCGTAGTCCGGACCACGAGTTTCTACATTAATGAGACGGAATGGCATGGGGAGAGATCAGTCTCCTCCATTTTGTCTGCATAGTGAGGCGTCCATGTTAGCAAGACACAATTGCATATCACACTGAAATTCTTTCAATGATAACTAGAAGGAACTTGTTAAGTTATTGCCAATTATAAAACCTTAAATAACAGTCTTCTGAAATCTTGTTCTTGTTTCACTCTCTGATTAATGAGGCATCCAGCCCCCAAATGTATTCAGATTCAGGTTCTAGATCCAAAAATAGAGTAAAAAAATATACATCTCAGGAAAAAAGAATAATTCTAAGAAAACAGTGAGTACTTTTCAAGATGAGCTAAGCACCATGGTTATCAAACTTTTGATAAACATATCTAAATAATTATGTTCATTCTGTGTGCAGAAATTAGGGTATATGTAAACTGGGATTTAGATACAGATATACAAACGTTTAAAAATCAATTTTACCTTGGATTTTTTTTAAAGACTAGGGACTCCCCTTAATTAATGGTGTCCATTGTGTTTGAGTGCTTCCGGGAACTTAATTCAAAAGGGCAGCAACATATACTGCATAGCTTCAGCAAGACTGCATTAGTGACTACCGTTTTCTAAACTAGGGAGCTATCTTGGTTGGACATTTCTTGTGTGTGCAAATACACATGAGATTTTTTATTGTAGGTGATGGAGCTGCACCGTTGGGGAAAGCCAGCAGCCCATTGAAAGTCGACATGGTCATCTCATTCAGATGCTGTTCCTGCATCTATGTCACCAGAGATCAGCGTGGAATCGTGAGCCACCTGGTCGCCCATGGCGATGAACAATTCAAGAGCCAGCATCCTCCCTCCTCTTCTCTTCTTCTCTCTTCTCTTCTCTTCTCTTCAAGTGCACTCTTCAAGTGCAAACTGTGTCCTGAAGCCTTTGCTCGGTATTCAGATCTCAGAAGGCATAACCAAATGCACACTGGTGAGAAGCCATTTAAGTGCAAGCTTTGCCCCCAAGCCTTTGCCCAAAATGCAGATCTGGAAGTCCATAATCAAATACACACTGGTGAAGAGCCATTTAAGTGCAAGCAGTGCCCCCAAGGCTTTGCTTGTAATTCAGCTTTGACGATACACACCCAAACACACACTGGTGAAAAGCCATTTAAGTGCAAGCTTTGCTCCCGAGCTTTTGCCCAGAATTCACATCTGAGAATACATACCCGGACACACACTGGTGAAAAGCCATTTAAGTGCAAGCTTTGCCCAAAAGCCTTTGCTTGGAATTCAGTTCTGAAAGCACATACCCGAACTCACACTGGTGAAAAGCCATATAAGTGCAATCTTTGCCCAAAATCATTTGCTCTGAATTCATCTCTGAGAGGGCATAACTCAACACACACTGGTGAGAAGCCATTTAAGTGCAGGCTTTGCCCAAAAGCCTTTGCTTGGAATTCACATCTGAGAATACATACCCGAACACACACTGGTAAAAAGCCATTTAGGTGCAAGTTTTGCCCACAAGCCTTTTTTCGGAATTCAGATTTGAGAAGGCATAACAAAGTACACACTGGCAAAAAGCCATTTGAGTGCAAACTTTGCCCACAAGCCTTTGCTCTGTGCTCAGCTCTGAGAAACCATAGCCATACACACACTGATAAAAAGCAATTTAGATGCCATCTTTGCCCCCAAGCCTTTGCTCAGAGTTCAGATCTGAGAATTCATAAACGAACACACACTGCTGAAATGCCATTTCAGTGCAAGCTTTGTGCAAAAGCCTTTCTTTGGAATTCAGAGCTGAGAAGGCATAACCAAACACACACTGGTGAAAAGCCATTTAAGTGCAAGCTTTGCCCAAAAGCCTTTGCTCGGTATTCTGATCTGAGAAGGCATAACAAAACACACGGGAGAAAAGCCATTTAAGTGCAAGCTTTGCACCCCAAACCTTGGCTCAGAAGGCACACCTGAGAAGCCTTAATCAAACACTCACTGGTGAAAAGCCACTTAAGTCCAAGCTTTGCTCCCAAGCCTTTTCTCAAAATTTCTATCTGACCTGCCATAGTCATCAGAATTAATTGGGGGGCTAGTTGGTTGAACATCTAGACGGTGGATTTGAAAGCGCAAAAGACTGAGGAGAGAAGGAGGGAAAGCGCTCTGTCCTGTCCCCTCCTTCTCTTCTCAGTCTTTTGCGCTTTCAAATCCACCGTCTAGCTGCCATAGCCAAACACACAGCTGCAAAACCATTCATGTGCAAGCACTGCTTTCAAGCCCTTTTTCGATATTCCAGTGTGAACCGCCATTATCAAACGCTGTGTTCAAAAACCTGACAGATGCACACATGCTGAATGCTTTCCGGTTGACCTGTAAGTTGAGTCTGCCATGCTTTGTAATGTGTGTAATAATTTCACTCATGCAGAATTGTTTGCCATTTTCATTTAAATCTACATATACCGGAGTGCAAGATAAATCTCAAGGCATTGCTCAGATTAATAGTTAAGGTCACCACACTGAGGCACTTGTGCACGATAAGCCTCACTTAGGCCAGCAGCATCTGACATCATTTTCTAAACAGTGTTCCCTCATCAGGCACATGCCAACAGATGATGTTGTAAAAGCCTAAGGGCATTTTCATAAGAACACGGGCAGCAAATAGCCCTTTCAAGCCAGCAATTTTGGAGAAGGTTCAGTGTGAATTCCGGTGTGGTGGGTCACAGAGATTGTGCACACAGAACTAGACTGCCTGGCATATTGCTGTTGGGTCTTGTCCAAATGCTCTCGTTTGTCATGACACAAAAGTATTGGGTAGTAGGGAATGATTCCTTGCCAGCTGGAATGAGAGGCTGGGCAATGTAGTGAGAAACTTTGCTTAGCATTTTTTAGAGCAATACTCTTACGTTCTGCATTTGAATGCACATTGGGTCATGCTTTAGCTCTTGTTCCAAGTTCCTTTGCACTCTCTCGAGGTGTACTGCTTTGGGGTGAGTTCCACTATGTTTGTAAAAAGGTCTTTATTTTTTTTGTTTGATAGAGCTCCTGTTTAGAAAGAAATTAAAATTCAGTTTGACTGTAAAAATAAATAAAACATTGGCAGTTTCAATACTGAAACTTGCTTCTTCCATCATTTGTGGCTTTGAGTACTCATTAAGTGTGAAGGAACCTTTTCCATGATTTTTTGTTTTGGAGTCTTGTACCATGCGAAAGCCTTAAAAAAACCTTGCTGGTAGACCGATTTCCGAATGCAGGCTGCAACGCTGCACTTTCCGCTGCCAATTGGGACTTTGCTAGTTGTATTCCCAGTAAGGTCTGTTTGCTTGAAGCTGGTTACCTTTAACACTGGCAAAAAGTGAACTCCCAATTCTTACGAGGTACGTATAAATACCTAGCTAGGTGTGACGAGGGCTAGATGTGCGATAGCTTTGGTATTACGGTGGAACCCCGTTAAAACGAACTAGCATCGGGAGCAGAAATTCGTTTGCTATAACAGTCACCGTGGATCATCAGATGGCATGGAAGCACACACGCGATGCACATCGTCAACTTTTTTCTTCTAACCCTGCAGTTTTTGAGCAGGACGGCCTTCGGTCTCCGGCCTGGCTTCATGGGAGCCAACCTGTCTGGAACAAGGGATCCTACCGACCTGGATGGCATTTCTCCTTTCATCGACGTTTCCTGTGCTAAAAACGAAGACAAGCGCCAGGCAACCGAGGCAATCAACTTTTCCGTCATCAAACAGCTTATCCTCGGTCATTCCGGAACAGCCACATCGACACCTGCATCATCGCATTGGGCCGGTTTCATCACCGTGGATCGTCAGAGGGCATGGAAACACGTACACAATGCACATTGTCAACTTTCTTCTAACCCTGCAGTTTTTGAGCAGGACGGCCTTCGGTCTCCGGCCTGGCTTCATGGGAGCCAACCTGTCTGAAACAATGGATCCTACCGACCTGGATGGCATCTCTCTTTTCATTGACGTTTCCTGTACCACAAACGAAGACAAGCGCCAGGCAACCGAGGCAATCAGCCTTTTCGTCATCAAACAGCTTATCCTCGGTCATTCTGGAACAGCCACATCGACACCCGCATCATCGCATTGGGCTGGCCTCATCACCGTGGATCGTCAGAGGGCATGGAAGCACGTACACGATGCACATTGTCAACTTTCTTCTTCTAACCCTGCAGTTTTTGAGCGGGACGGCCTTCGGTCTCCGGCCTGGCTTCATGGGAGCCAACCTGTCTGGAACAATGGATCCTACCGACCTGGATGGCATCTCTCTTTTCATTGACGTTTCCTGTACCACAAACGAAGACAAGCGCCAGGCAACCGAGGCAATCAACTTTTCCGTCATCAACCAGCTTCACCTCGGTCATTCTAGAACAGCCACATTGACACCCGCATCATCGCATTCAGCCGGCCTCATCACCGTGGATCGTCAGAGGGCATGGAAGCACGCACACGATATGCATCATCAACTTCTTTCTTCTAACCCTGCAGGTTATTAGTCATGATAGTTTTTATTGTTTTAGGTCTAATGACGTCTGTATAATAGTGCTTCCATGCCCAGAAGCTTTGGTGAATTCGTTTAGAGTGTTGCTGCTGCTGCTTGGAGGTGATGTCGAGACTAACCCCGGACCAACTAATATTGAACTATCTAAGTAGCTTGATGAAATGATGCGGGTGTTGCAGGATACAAATGCGCAAACTCAGAGGGTTGAGGAAGGGCAAAGTAGTATATACTGAGCTCCATTAACAAACTAAAAAGAAACCAGCAACAGCTACAAGTCACGGTAACAAATATCGGTCGAAGGGTTTCTGCGATTGGATTGAAGTCGTCTTCAATCGATGAATTACACCGCGACTTGGCTGGTACCAGCCAATCTGTTCAGCGCATTCGAAAAGAAAATCATGCTTTGCGCAGTAGATTAGATGAGATTGAAGACCAGTCACGGGATAATCTTGTATTTCATGGTGTGGACGATTGCCTTGGTGAAACGTGGGCCCAGGCGGAAGAGAAGGTGGCTCGTTTACTTTCAGATTTAGCTTCTTGTATTATTTCGCATGAACAAATCATGCGTGCTCATCGCTTGGGGCCTTTTATAACAGGAAAGCGTCGTCCTATTTTAGTGAAGTTTCAGTTTTTTAAAACTAGAGAAAGTGTCCTGCAGGTCAAGTCAAAATTAAAAACAAGCCCTATTTCTGTTTCAAAAGATTTTAGTTTTTCAGCTCGCCACAAACTATACTGGAGCATGGAAAGAGCCAGGAAAACCAGTTTATGCTAAGTTACAAGAAACTTTTTCTTAAGAAGTGTTATGCATACAATGAAATCGAAGACTGCATTTATGAAGTAGTCCTGCCTCGTCGCGAAGTTTCATCTGCGACACCACTATTCGATTTGCGAGCAGCGTCTACTTCTATGTCAACTTAAAGGAGCTGTGAAACAATATCAGGGCTTTGCTGAAATAATTGTGGAAGTTGATGCCTAACACTTCTGAAGTGAACTACAGAAAACAGATCTTGCCTGGATACCCTAGTTTTTATTAAAAAAAAAAAGAAAAATTCAGGTTTTTACCGCCTCTCAACTCGCACATCGTCTTCCGGGTCACGTGCGCAGTGACGTCGATGGGTTGGCGCGGTGTTCCGGTAAAGTTCTCTCTAGAGCATTCAGTGAGCAGCGAGGACCCATCCGCTCACGACCGCGTGACCACGTGCTGGCAGGCGCAGCGCGAACAATATGGTGAAAGGAGGAAAGTCTCATCCGGGTCCGGCCATCCCCGTCTGGCTCTGTCCCCCTCCCCCTCTGGCTTTTGGCGGCTGTTTGCGGTAGCAGATAGAGCTGACGGTTTTGTGGACCAAGGATAGATGGCGCCACTAAAACTCCGTATAACAAAAGTTTTGCCGATGACACCAGGTTTTTGACGTGTTTATATTTATGTTGGAACGACAAGATTTATAGAAAAGTTACCTTTTATCGAGCAGGTATTCACACAACTTGCTCTGCAAGACCCCCATTGACGTCATGCCGCATGTTTCTCATGGCCACCGCTCGCGGCTGCAAGTCGGGGAATATTCTAACTTTTGCCTCGCTATTACGCGGCGGAATTGCAACATTTCGATGAAAAGAGATGTGTTTTCTGTAATTAAACATGAGGAAGATACATAGAAAGGGGGGACGGACAACGAAGACTTCCAGGATCAAACTCCGAGGTCGGTTGCTTGGGACAAGACATGAGAGCTCACGTGAACGAATTAAGTACAAAACGAGCGTGTTGGTAACAGTAATTAAACCCCCCCCCCCCCTTTCTATGTATTTTCCTTATGTTTAATTACTGTTACCAACACGCTCGTTTTGTACTTAGTTTTCTGTCATTTGTGACAAGGTGAACAATGTCAAAAGTAGAAGATGCAAATTCTTTCAACGTTAAAATCGTTGCACGGCTCCTTTAACAATCCGCACGAGGCAGAAAAGTGGTTTGGCCTTTTTTAAGTGTTTCCGTTTTATTTACTAACATTCGCAGTCTAATTCGTAAACGAGATGAATTGTGCTCAGCTGCAGTCTCATGCGACGCCGACGTCATTGCTCTCACAGAGACATGGCTTTCTAGCAAAGTGTCTGATAATGAGCTTTTTCATTGTAAAAAACGTTTGAATACATTTCGCTGCGATAGGCGTGACAGAAGTGGCGGTGGTGTTTGGTTGGCGGTTGCTGACTCATTGGTTTCTCGCCCTGTCATTGTAGCCTGTGAACTAGAGATTGTTTGGGTTTGCGTTTTCTTTAAACATAAACAAACGATAATGGGTGTATTAGGGCACTGCACGGGCCGGAATTTCTAGGCCTGGCCCAACCCGGCCCGGTAGAGAGACGGCCCGGGCCCTGCCCGAGCCCGACAGAATATTTTATTTCTAGGCCCGGCCCGGCCCGGCCCGGTAGAGACACGGCCCGGGCCCGGCCAGAGCCCGATAACATTTTCAAATATGAGCCCTAGCCCAGCCCGAGCCGGAAAACTGGGACCGAGTTTTTTATATCATAAATATGTCGACTTAGAACATGTATTGTCGAG